TTGTTAAGAAATAACTTTAAAAATAAGCGAATAATCGAAAAATGAGTTACCTCAACTTTGCAAAAACGATATTTCCTGCAATACTCGTGGTCGGTAGAGTGTATCTAAATGAAAAGGAGCCCTACGACAGCCCATATAAGTGGAGCCTTACATCGTCCTTTCTATGCACCGTAGGCTTCAAGCCTAGCGGAGAGCCCTTCCGCCTATTCATGGTCTCCTGTCGGGCACGTTTATCTTTAAAACCAGTCGCGGCGGAGGAGCGTATCGTTTTCGTTCTCTCTCTCGCTCGGCTTTATTGCACTTCTCTCCTTTGTGAATAACCCACTGAGCGAGCGAGAAAGAGAAAGAGAGAGAGAGAGAGAGACGCGCCCACCCGATCATTATCGCACCACAAGCGGCTGCATACTAATCTGCCTCAGGGCTGCCGTAATTAGGCGAGCATGAGCTCGCGGAGGATATCCTTCTCTCTCTTTCTCTCTCTCTCTCTCTCTCTTACAGGTCGAAGGACGATGATGGTTAGAAAAAAAAGGATGATGTTCATGTACGTGTAAGTGGTGTACTGCGCCTTTCGTGTGCGTGCGAACCGGAGCCCTATGTATTTTACTCGATCGTCGGTGATTTACCTGCGCTAAGCATTCGTCTCAAATGTTCGCTGTGGCTTCCTCGTGCCATTCTACGTGCAGCTGACGACTGCCTTTCTTTGTCCTTTGTTAACATCACGAATTTGTATAGGACCATAATCTACAGTGACCTGTTAAAATCATCTTATTTATCAGAGTAATAGGAGCAATAGATTTTTTTCAATAAAAAAAACAATTATGGATATAGACAGTGAGAAATAATATTTATTGCAATAAATTCAAATAAGTATTAGAAGTGATTAACTACTGTACACATTATTGCAAATTAGCCATATATACATAAATGAATCAGGAAACTATTCTTTGGTAAAGCACAGAAAATTTGTCAAGCGCTAAGACGAAAAATTGAGGGTTTTACAAGAAGGTCTGATGTAAAATTAGTCTGAAGATGAAAATGACGAGCAAGCTAAAAGATTTCGTTCTTTTTTCGTAACTGTCATCCGTGAGAAACCAGGAAACCATGGAGGATCACGGGTCGGCTGTGTAAATGTAGTCCGTGGGTGCAACACACAGAGACTGTATACAGTCTCCATGGTGCAACGCTCCCTGATGGTGTCGTAAACAGGACTGTAACGGTGCCTACACGCCGGCCGACTCTCAAACGCCATTGGAGGAACGAACACAAAGCTGCCTCGTAAAGGCAATTGCTCTCCAACGAGGAGCGGGAGGTGTGGAAAAGACAAATCGCTTGGATGTCAACTTTACCAGGGTACTATATCGCCGAAAAGGTTCCTATTTAGCTTCCAGAAATATTTCTGCGGTTTCTCTGCCTTTTTTTCAATCCAGCAATGTTGTTGGTTCCACGGCCAACCGGCAATCTCTTTTCAGGTCAGGAAAGGTCTTGCAAAAACAGGTTTATTGCCAAAAGTGGAATAGAATAAAAGGCTATATGATTCGAATATTATTTATTGATAATTGTTTACAAATCCTAAGGTCTGGATTATAAATCAACCAAAATATTGCCAGTATGTTATTATATAAGTATTGTAGTTTTTACTAAAAAGTAAGCCAAGTTTTAGTAGATCACTGAATTGAGTGAAGAAATCGATGAGGAAAGGTTGCATACAAATTTTCATCGTAATTTCATTTTACTTTTGTCTGAGTCATAAATGATTGTTGATTTCAGTTCAACGATAGCTATAAGCATTCGCATATAGTTTATCTCATTCGAGAGAGTGTCGACGTTATCTACATTATTACCAAGATTTACGTATGTACGCCGGTGACACTGTAGAGAAATGTTATGTGTACAAAATGCAACTGAAATCCAAATACTTATTCCGAAATCTTTCAAGAAAATGAAAAATGGTATACGTTTCTTTCGCCTAGATAATATCTGAAAGATGATTTATTAATTAGATTTTTTTAAATACATTTAGTGATGCAGTACGACGTGGTATTTTCTATTCACGGATGTGAAGTAAGTTAAAATCTGAATATACATATGTCAAGAAAGAAAAATTTGAAATTTGTATACCGTGGGTCAATTTACGACTTTAGAGGACATAAATTCAGATCCATATATTTTAGTTATAATATCGGAAGATCTAGAAAAAACCAATTGTATAATGCCATATTTGAGCTCGAAACCGCGCTTAACACATAACGAATGTTTCAAACATTTCGGATATCAAGGAATATTATTATCGATTCCCACGACCGCGCATACAATATGCTTGCAATGTATGTATACAAAAAGTCCGCGAGGGGTTTGCACGCATCGTTTTTATAGGCTCCCAATCGATGCAACCAAAACGGAGGAACAAAAAACATTGCTCAATAATTTGGAAGGACGCTCGAGCGAGCATTATGTTGGAACATCGGAAACGGACGATTGATCAAAGGGCATCACCTTCGCGTCAAAGACACTTGGAAGATTTGCAGAAGTGATCGGTAGTAGGGTATCATGTTCCCGATAGACTCGCATATCGGTTGGCCCTCCTCAATTTCAATGCCCGTGCCACTGTTTCGCTCTCTCTCTCTCTCTTTCTCTCTCTTCTCTGTGTATGCCATTGTGGGTATACGAGCTTTCTCTCTCCGTCGAGTTGACTGCTGCTATGTAATAATAACAACCCAACACGCTCCTCCCTCTCGGCGATTTTTTTTCACAGAATAACCGCACGCACAATCAGGGAACCATGAGCGTGCTTGGCCAGGCCCACGCTCATATACATGCGCGCGCCGACCAGCAGTGCGTGCGGTGCTCGCGAGTTCGAGTTCCCCCCTTTCGCTGCTGCCTCTGCCTCCTCCTCGCACTCTCTGACATATAGGAGTCGATAATGCGAGCTTCGCGTACCTCGTCATTGTGATACAATAGTTCGTCCGAGTATGGAAATAGTAGATTGCGTACTTAGTTGTCTCGTGTGCTATGATTTTGGAAAGTCCATAGCACGTGAAGCAGCCAACGCGAAGACGATGCAAAAAAAACGTTTTTTCTTCTCTGGGATTCATTTCCTTAATAACGAATACTACACCCAGAAGAATTTGATTTATAATAGAATTTTTTACAGAAAATCAATACAATACTTTACTTTTTTCGTCACTAAAAAAATTTCGTCATCGATTGATAAATGATAATTTTTAGTCAGTCGAAAGTAAGGGATAAAGATAGTGGAAACATTTGCAGAGTTCTAGCAGTGTATAATGTTTGAAAACGAGTATGATTTCTCGGAATATCAAAGAAATTAGGTAAAAAGTTTCGTATTTTTTATGATTTATGAAAATACGAAGGATGATCATTCATAGATATTGTAAAATTCATAGATATTGTTGGAAAATTAATTCGTTATTAAATTTAATAACGTATATTCAACATCTTTGTTGGACAATGAATTTGATCAATTGAAAAAAAAGTTTCAAATCATATAGCTTGAAAAGCAGTCTTATAAAAGTTTCTTAATTTTTAAAATGCTATGTCATGAAAACGTGCAGGTAGTATTTTAATGTTTTAGTAAGGAAAACTTTATCATTATAGATAAACTATAGATTTGCAAAGTTTATAAATAACGAGTAGCTTTTACTTTTAAGATTAATAAAATCAATAAATTATGTTTATTAATAATTGTTTATTCAAACTTCATATAACTAAATATAAAGTCATAATAATAAATAATCAAACATTCATTACATTTCGTAACCTTGCGTAAATGAGATATTTATGAAAAGAAATTTCAGACTTTATTTGCAAAGTAATAAGCTATTTTTTTATAACGATTTATTAGAAAATAGCTGCTTTTCGATATTTACCTACTCAGCATACACTCTAAGAATTTATTTGTGAAAATTACGGTGTTTTTAATAACTTTGACTATTTTATTAAATTTCTTATAGAAAATGATCACTTGTCCAATTTGAGAGTAACTGGTATATTAGGCAGTTCATGTTTAGCGATTTTTATTACATTTTGAAAATTTGATCCTTGGTTGACATAGTGTTCAACCCTTAGCAATATCCTTTAGATGAAAACGATTTGATTTTTCAAATTATTAAGACATATTTCTAGATCGCCTACGATGATGTCTTGTATCTGTTAAATTCTTCCCATAATTTCCAGGCGAAAAGGCCTTCTGTATTTTTCAAATCCGATATTTTCAAATCCTAAATTTTATATATTAAATATCAATAAACATGTTTAACTTTTAAAATAAATGTTAAGCTACCTTAATGTCTAATTAGAAAGTTTAATGTATATAGTCTATTGCAGTATTTCACGAATGTACTTCAATCAGCTATGCTGGATTTTTTAATTAAATTACGTATAAACCTCCATAATTTTTAAATGTTACAAAAAACATTAAAAATATATGTTTGATTCTTTCCATTATCACAATTATAAGGAATTGATGCCTGGTAAATTCTTAGTAACGATGCAAGATATTTTTGTTTATTTTTTTAGGTATTAAGCGGGGAACGTTATTCACTACTTTTAAGATATGCTATTCGAAAAATTATTCTATCCATTACATAATATTATTCAATATCTAAGTATTTGAATATTATTGAAAAAAATAACAAGAAGTAAATGCAACCGTTACTTTGGCTACTGATTTATTTAATAGTAAAATATTTGGCATATTGTTCTTATTATTGTCGAATATATAAATCTTAATCATTATCCAGTATGATATCCGGCTAATAAAAAATAATAAACAAAAATCTTAAAACTATCATTGCATAAATTGTTTACATAAGTCAGTGCTTAACAAATATGATAGTAAAAAAATATTTTGAAATAAGACTCTAAAATCTTCTATACAATCAATCACAATAAAATCAAATGTTACCTAGATCTAATTTAATGTTTTTTAAACGGTTATCAATGCACCTAATAACCCAATAAACTTTCTTAGAAACTTTATCTTATTTATCAAATTTTAATGATAGACTACCAGTTACTGATCTCTCACTGTTTTTTGAAATATTATCCTGAAGTTTGTGGTCAGAGAAATATCTATATTTGTAAAATATAGCTAATATTCCAAATACAATCCCACTTGTAGTCATAAAAATGGCATAGAAAAATAATTCGTGCATCTAGAAAATAAAATTGCTATAGTAATACAGGTATTCTTCGTTCTTAAAATTTTATAAAAACTTTTACTGCTATTATTAGTGCTCACCTTTCGTTCGAAAATTCGTGTCTTGCTAACAACTATGATTAGAACATTACCAAAAAATGACACGAAAATCCAGTAAGATTGTAAAATTGCTTTCATACTTGCAGGTGCTTGAGAATAAGTAAATTCCATTACTAAAACGTTGACCATAATTTCGGCAGCAGCCAGAAAAATTTGTTGAGGTAACACCCACAATATATGCAAAGAATTGGGTTGCGTCACCGTCACTGTATGGGCAATCACTGCTGAATTCGAAACATGAACTAGAATAGTGTAAACTCCACCAAGTTTTAGAGGAACATTTGATTCTACAAGTCGGTTATTTAAAAATAAATCATATTTGTTGTGAAGAACTTCCTTGAAATCAGATTTAATAAATTTCTGCTTCGGGAACACAAAGCTTTCAAAGAGATTGTTATTATGCATAATTTTTAGATCAAGCCGACTTCCGCAATAATTATCATTAGTATAAATCAATGTGCGCACGATTGGATTGCCAGAATGAGATTTATCTACGTGGTCGATAAACTTGCAATTGAATCCATCGTCATTTATAGTCCATGATATGGCTTGGCTTTCAATGACTTGAAGATTTCCTAAAAAAAGCACTCACAAAATTGATTGTAGTTATGATTTTACAAATGTATTTTGTCGGTACTGATTTACCGGTCACTTTTCTTTTTTTTGGCAAAGATTCGATAGCTCTGCAATCACTCAAGTCTATTTCATAACTTAAAATCTCTATTCCATTAGCACGAATGTCAGTGTCTTGCCAAATGTCAAGTTCATTTATCACGAAATTTTTTTCCGTATTAATTTTTATTGGTATTTTACAATCAAGAGTATTATAGATCCTCATTTGTGCTAAACCTTTTACAGGAGTTTTTGCATAATTGTACTATAAAAAAATAAAATTATAGTTATTTGCTCAAAAAGTTACAAAAAACTATACAACAGTAATTTTAAGTTTTACCTCGAGATTCATCTCTACAATTCCACTTGCATAATACGATAATGCTGCGATAAAACAACCACAAGTTATTTTCCTCAAAGGAGTATTTAAATATAAATACTTTTCCATAAACGGATAAATGTATGAATAAAATAAAGGGACTAATATTATTATAAATGCTGGATAGATGATTTGAATTTGATCAGGTTTTATGAGGTACCCTCCTACTTCGCCGTTCATCCTAGTAGTTTGAAAAATCCATAAAGAGCTTTGCGCAGAATGCAATGACCAGAATATCAACAAAGGTGAAAGTAGTATGAGCACGCTAGATATTGACTTTATGTCTTCAATTAATGTCGGTTCATATTTGTCATCAGCGTAATCCAACCAGTGATGACGTTTTTCTTTCGATTTGAGTTTCTGATAAAAAGCGTGCTGCAACATATAACATTGTTTTTTATATTACCTTGGATTGTGATACACGTGAATAACTTACATAAGCACATTTAGTAACATCAACTATGATATTACGTTCTGGTTTTTGTATCTTGTAAGATCGCTTCGTAATCAGAATCATTACTAAAAAGTAAATTTAAATAAATCCTTAAGTGTTCATTTTTAATATACAAAAAACACATTTTTTTACTAACTCGTTCCTATTATCAATATCACAGCAGGTAAAATAAATACTAAGGAATAACAGGTGAGCTGATCGAAACATGTCAAATCTTTGCGTAATACAGGTATAACAAAAGATACACTGATAGCACCGATATTTTCAGCCACACACAAAAATACGAATAACAATGATAGTTGTTTCTTTTGCTGAGGTATTACGAACTGGCCTCCAGCAAAAACAACAACAATTGGTTTGACTGCTCCATAACCAAATGCTATCAAAATAAAACTTAAAATTGTAAACTCGCTGGAATAAAGAAAAAAATGTATTTATCGAATTGTTTGAATTTTGTTTATTATGAATATGATGAAAAGTTATCGTACTTGATGAATAACGATAAGGACGGTACAGTAACAACAGAAAGTAAAAGTAGACCAGCTGCGAAAAATATGCTATAAATTATAATACTTTTAAATGTCCCGAAAAGTGAATCAGCTATGATTCCACCTATAATGGAAAACACACATACGAATAAAAGATATGTGTGAAAAAAAACCGTTGCGTCTATATTCGTGTAGTCTAGTACATCGACTAAAAATAGTGCAGCTGTTCCTGTAAAGTGATATTCACGCTATATAATTATTTGTATTGCATTAATTATTAATTTATTTACCTTTTATTGTAGCGTGACTAAATTTGATAAAAAAGTAGAGTACAATAATGATGAATACTGCTTTTGGAAACTTCCCCCAGATATGTAGATCGATTAATTTCAACTCGATAACGATTTAAATATATAAAAGTGCGAATCAATCACGACTCACTTTAATTTCGGAATCTTTATTCATAATTATTCTTCTCCACTACAAGAAGTGCAACTGTAGAGCACCGTATCATTGAAACTATTACTGTAAACAAAAGAAGAAAGCACTTTTAGCACAATTTATAAAGTATATGCAATTGAGTACTTTTATTTAACGTTAAATAGTTCAAAATAAAAATAATTCTCACGAGGACGTGCAGTCACGATAGTCTGCACGTCTCTGACTAAGTTGTAAGAAAGATACGTCTATTCTGTGTATGCTTGTTGCGCAAAAAGCAGATTTGCGCCGACGAATAAAACATTATCTTAAAATATTTGTCGTAATCTTTAAATAAAATTTTTAACAATATATAATCTACTTTATGTTTAGATAAAACTAATCAATTAGAAAATTCTTCATGTAATTACGTTTATTTTGGAGGTGCTGTAAATAATGCATTTTTAGGAGAAAGTAAATAAATAGTTTCTCATTCGAACTTAAACTTTCCCAGGTGTATTTATAAACGTCATACGACCTAGACGTCTAATTAGCGTTTAAAAACAAAGACACAAACGGTACAAATTATAATTTCCAATTGTGTGGCTACATAGTAAAGAGTATGACTTTTATCCTTTTGTTTACTTGAAGTTCTGCAAGTTACGAAGTTGTGAAGCTCCTCGGCTATATGAAAGTCTATACAGTTGAGCAGGTAGTAGAGGGAATGGCTGCTGAGCTGTATGTAACCGTATGGCAGCCTTTCGGTCTCTTGGTATATCGGCCTACCACGTGGGTCAATGTTAGCTAAAAGCATAGTATCACGACTCGAACTATCAACAATACATGGGCATTATGCAAGTCTGCGTAGGTTTAGAAACATTTAAGTGTTTTCAAATTTTCAAATTTTAGTAAGAATGATTACTAAATTACATTAATAATTTATGAATTCTATTAATAAATTATATTATTAAGTTTGTTACGTCTCAAGACGCATCTTTACTCATTTACATTCTTTAAAGTTAATAAATTAAGAATATATTTATGCGTTAAATATTTTATTACACACTGTAAAAATCGATAAGAAAACTATAAAGAATCTGTGTGCATTTGCGTCGTATACGACCTATTTACCTATTGAGTGCCACCTGCACGTAACTATTGAATATATCTTCGCGAAGGTATAAAATTTCTTAAGCGCCATGGTCAAGCTAAGCAGGAATACGGCGTGAGAAAGATGTTTGTAACGTAGGATATACTATCCCGTTGTAAAAGATGTTTGTAGCGTAGGATATACTATCCCGCGCTACAAACATCTTCCCCATGCCGTATTCTCACTTGGCTCACCCAAGGCACACAAATAATTAACTGAGGTATAGTTCCAAGCGGTGGTATTGAACTGTTAATCCGTAATGTAAAACGTACAATTACAATTTTCTATGCATAAAATAACTATAACAGCATTAATACTTCGTTAATCTTATTACTAATAAAGTATTCGACCTATTCACTAAAACAAGATCACGCTGATTCGTACGGCTCTGTCTTTTAACTAATGTTATGTTTGCAAAATTCTTTCTTTACTGCAGATATTCTTCAAATCTCATACGCACTATCATAGATATATGTTTAAAGTTCGTAAAAATATCAGCAAAATATGGTAGTTATGTAGCTTGAAAATATTATGGATAATTATAATATTGCATAATAATTAATGATGTAACATTATAAATAGACTGACCATGCTTATTTAATCTTAAAATATCTTTATGTACTGTAATCAATACTAAATGTTATTAACGACGGTCAATCTCTAATTTTGACATTCAAATATTCGCGCACTGTGAGTCCTCAGCAAAAGGACCTCAAATTCGAAACGTGAGAGGGCGTAAAGTCAAAGCGGAAAATTTGGCCGAAAGAAAAAAGAGAAAGTGGACGTACGTTCAAACGGAGCTGCCGAAGAGAACAGTAGTGGACCAACCAGTGGAGTTGTCAAGCCAAGACGCGGACATATAATCGGCGCGACATAATAGCAGGTATCGTAACAATTCTTTCATAACCATGCTAAGTGCTGATGAGTCCAATGATTAGATAATAGACGAAACGCTTGTGCATTATTTTCTAAGCTTGGTATTGATAAATTTGTAGTTTAGTAGATTTTGATGAAACTTGAAGGAAAACTAGTTTTTCTGTGTGTGCAAAGTTTGGAATCTCTTCACCATCTAGTTTTTAAATTATCGCCGATGAAAAATTCAACGTATAACGTGATTTTTATGGGAGAAATTGCAAAATACAACTCATCGTCGAGTTTCAGAGTTATATTATACTACAAAAAATCGACATTGGAATTTTTCTTTCGGTGCAAGCTATGGGACGATGTTAGGGGGTGCAATGTGGCAACGCTGCTCTACGCGCGTCTCAGACTCAAATATATTCAAAACCATCTTGATTTGTACTTTTTACCGACTTTATAGTTACTTTATGCCGACTTTATAGTACGTATTGCTGATAGTATTATTTTATTTACTGAATGGTCCGATAGGTGATTCCAAATAAATTACACACTATCTTAAATAAACCTTCTACTATCTTATTATGTATTCACCTATTGTATAATTTATTATATATCTGATTATAATATATTGAATTGAATATATCTATATATATATATTGCAGTTCAAATCTTCAACTATCTTATTAGACGGCGCAACAATCTATCGATTTGATGATCAGATATACACTTCGCATATCGCATCAAGGTCATTAAAATTGGAGTTTTTTATGTAAATCTCATACATTAGTATAGTCAGTTCCCTTTTTATTTTAAGCTCTAATAACGGTGATGTTAAATTACAAATTTTATCAGTCATTTGCAGTGATATTTCTCAGCTTTCAAAATTTTTGTGAAACATACATATTATTGAATGACACACTACAAGAGAAAATTTTAAGTAGGAAAAGAATATTAAATATATTAATTTTGAATTATTATTAGATAATGAGGATATTATTATTCTTTACCAAGTTATTCGTTTAATGAAATTTCTCCAAGTGGCAAAATTTGGTTATAAATAATTAGAAAATGATTAGAATATTCAATCTTATTATTTTATTTAGTCGAAATAGTTCAGCTAGTGTGCTGTCAAAATATTTGGATTTAATTGAATACCGGTTCATTAAAAAGAACATTTTGATTGTACTATCTAAATAGTATTATTTTATTGACTGAACGGTCCGATAGGTGAATCCAAATAAATTACACACTCTCTTAAATAAACCTTCTACAATCTTATTATGCATTTATCTATTGTATAATTTATTATACGAGTATATCTGATTATAATATATTGAATTGAATATATATATATATTGCAGTTAAATTCCTAAATTATTTAGATCTTCGCACAACAGGTTTCTGTTAAATAATCTAGTATATCAAAATCATAATTTGTTATTTTTTGTGTAGCTACCCGTGGGTGTTTTTCCTTCATTTTTGAGTAACAGCGTTATAAAAAAATTAATTATTCAAACTAATTACGGTATACCATCATGGATTTTACTATAGCTATACATGGAAACAGTATTAAAATAAAAAATTAAATGACTCTTTTTATAATTTTGATACAAGCTACTAAAATAATTATATTATGGGCAATTTTGTAACCGTTGACGAATGGTTTTTAATAAATTAATTTGAAGCATATGGTAATAAAAACTTGGAGTTACTGTATAAGTAAAGCTATGAATTTCCGTAAAATAGCTATTTTTGCAACAAAAGCTAACCAAACATACTTTATATAATGTGAAGCAATTCATTAATAAATAAAAAAAGCTAGTTTCAGCATTCAATATGATGTTGAATTAGACATAAAGTATAAGTCCTCTTTCGATACTTGTGGCCCTGTGGTAAGGTTGACATCTATGCGATTTATCTTTCTATAATAGTTCAAACAACTTGAATTCGCCTGACATTCATAACGGCCGTTTTTAAATAAAGGAGGATGAAGGCGACACATCCTCTCATAAATCATTATAAGTGATTATGTGCCCATCACAATTTCTCATTAGTCACAGCTCGACATTTTTAAGCTTAACGTTTTTTAAAATTGTTATGGTGTTTTTGTAAATAAAGTTGCGTTGGCTGATTGTGCATAATATAGT